TTGAATGACATAAAATCGGGCAAAAAATAGCATACACCTTATGCGCTTGTGTATCAAATGCACTTATGGACATCGCTATTACAGCATTGTGATTGGAAAAATATAGACTTTTTTACAAAATAGGCATTTACCGATAATATTTATATAATTAAAAGATATAATAATTTATTGCTATAGAAACGTTATCCGTCCGGTAAAGGATACACTGTAGCGTCTCTGTAAGTACAAAAAAAAATCTCCTGACCGTTATGTAGCGAAAAAATATACTTGGCGGGAGACGCTACCGCGTCTCCTGATTGCTATAATTAACTAAATTTATTTATATTATTGTTATAATTATAATCATTTATTTTCGTAGACAAATGAAAGATTAGATTCATCTACATTTCTTTCTTTATTTATATCCATATTACAGATACAGATAAAGTATGCCAAAAAGATTATTACATTATTAATTATAATTTATATATTACACTATTAATTATAATTAATCTTTTATTTTAATAGAAAGAAAATGAAATCCAAGATCCATCTACATTTAAATGCAGAAGATTACGTTAGTGCGTAGTAATGATAAAATTGAATTTCGAGGTCACAAATGACGAATATTAAATATGAGCGTATATAGAGACACCAATAATAAGGTCATGGCGCGCCTCCACCGCTTCTATATCTGTCTCAAAATCATACTTTGCTTGCAGAAAACCGTTCCTCTGGTGGCGAAAATCTGAGGCCAAATTCATGATTAGCGACCCCGAAAACCCCTGTTTACTATATGTCACACGAATTTGATAATTACTTTTTCTAATAATGAATTTTTCGTGTAAAAAGTGATATTTTTCAGTATTTCTGTATTGATATTAATAAATTCTCGGAAAATATTTATTAATTGCGTGTAATTTTACATTCTCTGATATGTTACGATATTGAAATAACAAAAATAACCGAAAAAATTGAGTAAAAACTAGGTTAAAAACCAAAAAAATGCTATTAATTTAGGTGATATATTCTATATACCGCCATGCCGCAAAAGGTTATCCTTGCGTATTCATGAATTATGCGAATCGTCCGATCCCAGCCATTTCACGTATACCTCATTCCCTCTTTTGTGCAAAACTTTTTCGACGAGGTAAACGTCGGGATTAGCAACGCGATGCAGTTCGTATTCGTAGAATTCTCTGACTATGGGTTTTCCACGAGAATCCTCCAAAACATACGTTGCGAGATTAGTTTTCTGCACCTTGATGATTTAAAAACTTCCGTGGTCCAATTTGGCGTGTAACCTTTCTCAAAAATTGTCTTGAATTTACTCACGCGTACTGAGTCACCCAGTTTGAATCGTGCGGGTGCGGCGATCTTTACGCGGTTATATACCGTGGTTAAAAGCTTGTTGATTACGGGGGTAACGTCGATGGGCCGCATACCGATAGTTCGATGCTTTCGCGCGTTGTATTCTGACATGAGACGCGGTAGCAAATCGATCTATCTATAGTTTCCGTTGTGTGTAAACTGCTTCCGCATGCTGTTTTTCAACGTACGGTTGAACCGCTTGACGACTGATGCCTTCATTACGGAATATGTAGAATAATGATTGATGTTATGTTTCTTTAAGAGATTCTACACGTTAGTGTTATAAAATTCCTTTCCCCTATCGGTCTGTAAATTTTTCGGGCATCTTCCATCGTGTCGAATTATCTCTGCGATCGCTTTAATCACATCACTTCCGCTCTTGGCCTTGAGAGGTACGGCTCATGCATGCTTACTCAGCACATCGATAACGGTGAGAATGTAGTGGTAACCTCTGTTGAATCGTGTGTTAGGACGCATCTCGACCACATCCGCTTGCCACAGGTCATCGTATCCGCAAACTATGACGCGTCTTCGTGGAAAATTTCTTCTCGCGGGAGCGTGCAATTCCTCGATCAGCTGCTGCTTTTCGAGACTTTTCTTTTTCGACATGTTCGAGTGTTCGCGCCGCGATTAGGGTGTGGCGGGATTTTTGAGCGGGAAGAACGGAAGTCAACACAGTCGTCTTAACAGCACACAAGAGAAACGTTTATTACTTACAATATTTACAGACAAAAAAAAGGCAAAGAAAAAAGATCGAAAAAAAGGAATTAAGTCGCTCTAGCAAGGGCCGCGGAAACTGTTCGGCTCCGACGCGGATGCACGACAGTCACCGATTCGTGCAACGCGGGCTTGGCTCGATTTGCTAAAAACGAGTGGCCCCCAGCGTCAGTCGGCCCGAGTTTTTATACCCGGCTTCGCGGCGGTCGCGAGTGACTAATTCTGCCTGGCAACGTGACAAAAAATGTTTGTCAGTGGCGCGATGGCTCAGCTGATCCGCTCCTTGTTTTCGACAACGGCTGAGACCGGTGACTCAGCACCCGAGCTCCTGTCAGCTGTTTTCCTCAAATTTGGTCTCGTATTTGCGTAGGGTGTTTGTGCGAGCGCGACTGGGAAAAATATCATGCTGCGTGCAGCCCGAGTGACGTCACGCAACGATTTGCTGTTTCTCTGTCCTGCGCCCGACTCTTGCGCCCTTCCGCGAGGCACACCGCGGTTCAGCGAACATACCGCCCGCCTCGTCAGGCACACTGACGAAACAGTACTACGACATTTTCGTAATTAAGAGCTACAGAAAAAATGATTAGGCACGCAGAGAAGATCTAGCTATCGCGGGCGTCATCCAGACGCAAAAGAATTATCTTTTGCGTAGGTCGGGTCAAGGTAGTGGTGGCCGTGCGGACGGTGACCACTCGGACTTGCCCGTCGTCCCCGTGGTGGGTGGCCGTCACTCGCCCCAGGGGCCACCTGGTAGGCGGCGTCTGTTCGCCTCGCACGAGGCACAGATCCCCGACGCAGGGGTTGACATCCTTTGTCCTCCACTTCGGTCGTGTGTTGAGGGACTGTAGGTACTCCCGGGACCACCGCTGCCAAAAGTGATCCCTCATCTGTTGGAGGAGCTGCCACCTGGTCAGGCGGCCGATGGGTTCCTCCGTCAGCGATGGCTCCGGGACTGCGCGGAGCGCCGTCCCCACCAGGAAGTGCCCCGGGGTGAGGGCAGTGAGGTCTTCAGGGTCGTCCGAGAGGGCGGCCAGTGGTCGGGAGTTGAGACACGCCTCAATCTGTGTCAGGAAGGTGGACAGCTCCTCGTAGGTGAGGGTGGCCTCTCCCATTACCCTCCGTAGGTGATGTTTCGTCGATTTCACTGCGGCTTCCCACACGCCTCCGAAATGCGGTGCCGCGGGTGGGTTGAACCGCCAGTGCACGCCGTCACTGGCAAGAGCGTCCGCGATGCTTCTGTCCTGGAGTGCTTGCTGGAGCAGTCGTTTCAGTTGCGCATCCGCCCCAATGAAATTCGTGCCCTGGTCGCTGTGCATCGTCGCACAGAGTCCTCGTCTCGACACAAATCGGCGGTATGCTGCCAGGAAGCCCTCGGCCGTGTAGTCCGATGCGACTTCCAGATGCACGGCCCGTGTGGCAAGGCACACAAAGATCACCAGGAATCCCTTATACGCCTTCTGTCCTCGTCCCTTCGCCGTGCGTAAGAGCACCGGCCCGGCGTAATCCACGCCAGTGTGCGTGAATGGTCGAGCCGCTCGGACGCGGGGTCGCGGCAAATCTCCCATGAGCGGGTGCGGGGATGCCGCCCGCCATCGCACGCATGGCATACACCGATGGATTCGCCGCTTTACCATTGCTCGGCCGCCCGGAATCCAGAACCTCTGGCGTATCATGCCAAGCGTCAATTGCACGCCGCCGTGCAGCGCCCGGCGGTGAAAGGAGTCTACCATGAGGACCGTGAGCCACGAGTTGCGTGGTAATATTACTGGGTGCTTCTCGTCTTCGCTGAGGATCGCGTGCCTCAGCCGCCCGCCAACACGAAGGATGCCATTCTCGTCCAGGAACGGGTTGAGCGGCAGGAGGCCACTCCGTCGCGACACCGCTCTGCCGCGACCCAAGTCCCTTAGTTCTGCCGAGAACCATGTAGATTGCACCGCCTTGATCCACCGGCGTTCCGCTTCCCGGAGGTCCTGTGAAGTCAGGGTCTCTAAAACAGATTCACGGGGGCGCAGCGTGCGCGTCCAGCGCAAACACCACGCCGTTACCCGTAACAGCCGATGCAAGGTGCCGAAGCGGAGCAGCACCGGGTCCTCTTCTAGTACCTCAGTTGCCGCGTGCACAGAGGCTCGCTGTTCCGGCATCTCCGGCTCCTCCTCCGTCTTGTCTCGAGCCTCGGTGAAGTGGGCCTCCGTTGCCCCTAGCCAAGCAGGGCCCTGCCACCATAAGGCGTGTTGCAGCAGCTCGTGAGGCGAGAGTCCGCGCGACGCGCAGTCGGCCGGATTTTCCTCGCCCGGAAGATGATGCCACATGGCGTCTGGTAGGGCTCGCTGTATTTCTGCGACCCTGTTCGCCACGTATGTAGTCCACCTGGTCGGGTGTCCACGGATCCACGCCAAGGTTACCGTGGAGTCCGACCAGAAGTGGATCCTCGCCATTGAAAGACCGAGGACCTCGCGCACATGCTCCACCAGTTTCACCAACAAGGCTGCTGCGCATAGCTCCAGGCGCGGCACCGACACTTGTCGCAGCGGGGCCACTCTCGTCTTAGCCTGCAATAGTGAGACATGACAGCCGCCGTCCTCGTTGATGACTCGCAAATAGGTTACTGCCGCGAACGCTCGTTCCGACGCGTCAGCGAACCCGTGTATCTCGACGCGCGCATTGCCGTCCCCGGTGTGCAGCCACCGCGGCACGCGCACGTTCTCCAACAGTGGGAGTTCCTTCCGTAGAAGATGCCACGCACGAGCATCCTCGGCCCGCAGCGGTTGGTCCCAATCGACTCGCTGCAACCACAGAGATTGAATTAGAATTTTTGCGCTCACCACCACCGGTGCTAACCATCCCATCAAAGAGCCGCGCCGTCTCCGACAGCACCACGCGTTTCGTTATATCTCCGTCGTTGTGCGGTCGCACGCGAAAGGCGAAGACATCGTCGCGCGGTTGCCATTGGACTCCCAGGGTGGAGTGACCTTCGTTGGGTTCCCACTCTCTCAGTCCGTGCAGCTGCTGGTAGTCCGCGGGCACCCTGCTCAGGAGGTCGTCCGAATTGGCCGCCCACTTCCTCAGAGGAAAGCCGCCCGCCGAGCAGAGCTGTATCAGCTGGTCCTGCAGGTTGAGAGCCTCTGTCTTCGTGTCTGCCCCGGTTAGGATGTCGTCAACGTACACATCGCGCCGTAGCGCCATTGCTCCCGCGGGGAAACGGCTCTCCTCATCTTCCGCCAGCTGTTGCAGGGTGCGAATAGCGAGATAGGGCGCGCACGAGAGTCCGTACGTAACTGTGTTTAGACGGTACTCCTGGATTATCTCGTTGCGGTTATCTCTCCAAAGGATCCGTTGGAGATCCCGGTCATCAGGGTGCACCAGGATCTGCCGATACATCTTGGCGATGTCCGTCACCACTGCGAAGCGATGAATTCTCCATCTAGCTAGGACATCGGCGAGCATCGGCAATAAGTTTGGTCCCGCCAATAATTTGTCGTTCAATGAGACGCTCGCGGATCCGCGCGCTGATCCATTGAACACGACTCGGATCTTGCTCACGTTCCCGCATGTTTTGAAGACTCCATGGTGAGGGAGGTAGCAAGTTTGTCCTTGACTTCGTTCGTACTCTCGAGGTACCTTTGACATATGATGGAGTGTTTCGTACTCCCTCATAAATTCCGCATACAATTCGCGGAATTTTGGTTCGGCCTTGAATTTGCGTTCCATGCTACTCAGAGTGCGCTCCGCCGCTCTCCTCGTATTCTCCGGGAACGGCGGGGTTGGCACAAGGGGGAGTCGTACCATGTAACGCCCATCTTCCGCAGGTGCGTGCGCACAAAGTGCTCCTCACACTGTTGCTCGGCTTTCGTGTATGGCCGAGGTGACGATGCCGGTTCCTCTTGCTCCCAGAAGCGCCTTACCAAGGAGCTGAGATCTTCGCCGACGGAACATTGGTGTGAGACTAGAGGGCCGCGCGTCCCGGTGTCCCCGATAGGTCCGGACAGAATCCACCCGAATGCGGTGTTTTGCGCGACGGGCGTGTGCGATTCACCTTTGCGAAGTCCGGCCTCGACGATGGCCGCATAGATATCCGCTCCCAGGAGCACCTCCACGGGATCGGCTGCCCGAAAGTCCGGATCCGCTAGCGGGAGACCACGGAGATGTGGCCACTTCATGTCACTCGCGCCGACTCGTCCCCCGTATGCGGTGATGCGCGGCAAGACGAGGGCAGGCACGCGAATGGAGGCCCCGGTGGTCGCTGACTCCATGTCTACCACGACTCTTCCTCTCGACACGCTGGTTTTATGACCACCGACTCCATAAATGACGGTGGCTGACGCGGACCGCGGAAGACGCAACCGTTGAACGAGCGACTCGCAAACGATCGATACCTCCGATCCCGGATCGATTAGCGCGCGAACGAAAATTGGAACGCCATACCTGTCCGTGACCCTGACCCTCGCGGTGGCCAGCAGGACGACCGCTCGTTCTCCCCTGGATTTCTCAGCGTGTAGCGACGTGGTTCCAGGAGCGGCTGCCGCAGTGCTCGAACAACAAACGTCATGGATGGAGCTATGGTGTCGTTCCTTACACACAGCGCACGACCTTTTCGACGGGCACGCGTGCAATTTGTGAGTGCCGAAACAATTCATGCACAGGTTATTTGCTTCGGCATACTCCTTCCTCTGCGCAGGCAGCTTAGCCTGAAATTCCCCGCAACAGAGTATGTAGTGATCCTTCCTACACAGCGAGCATTTCGTCGTCGGTCTTTGTGTTAGATGTGCTCGTGCCGCGCGCGGCGCGGTCCCGCCTTGCTTGTTCGTGCTTGATTCCCCGGTTTGTTTGTTCGGACTTGATTCCTCGCTGCTAGAGTGCAGGGCTTCCAAAGTCCGCAAACGACATTCCAGGAACGTTTTGAGCTCTTCATAGGAAGGCGGGTCCGCGGTCCCGCTGACCGACGTCTCCCATTCCCGCCGGGAACGTGGGTCGAGCATCTCCACCGCGAGGTGCACCAGGATGTCGCTGCTATTACTGATTGGACGACCGATGCTCTCCAAGGTGCTCACAGTCTGCAGCACGCCGTGAACCACTCGTCTCAAGTCCGGCACGGACTCGCTCTTCAATTTAGGCAGGGCGGTAAAGGTCGCGAGGCAGGACCTCACCAACAGGCGCTTGTTCGCATACCGTTCGGCAAGTGTGGCCCATGCGCGCGAGTAATTCTCCGATGTGGAGGTCAGATTGCGCACTAGCTGTTCTGCCTCCCCCTTTAGGCATGTTTTTAGGTAGTGGAGTTTTTCCACTCGCGACAGTGCGGGATCCTTGTCGACAATCGATCGGAAAAGGTCCTTGAAGGCCGGCCACTCCTCGTATTTTCCGGAAAAAGTGGGGAGCTGAATTCGCGGAAGCGTTTTCCGGGGGTTACCATCTCCCCCCTTGCGCTCCGTTGCAGGGGGCCTGGCCTCGACCTGGAGCTCTGCGAGCAAATCGACTAACACGGTGCGCTGCCCTATGTAGCTTTCTTCCA